ATAAAAAAACCACTTTATTTATATTTATAAAGTACACATTTAAATTGGTCATTTTTATTGTTCACTTGCACTATTGTTCTATTTTTCCAAAATATCAAATTTTTTTATAAAATTGAATAAGCTTTATAAATATTTTTAATTATAAATAGATTTATATATAATATAAGTAGCTTTAAAAATAATTATTCTATAAATAATTATTTTATTTCCTTGAAAATTCATTTATATTAAAATATAAGCTGCCGTCGCTTTCGATGTTCGTAAAGATAATCATTACGGTCATCACCGTAATCACTACGATGATCGTAATCGACGCTTGAGCTGTGAGTTTGTATGTAGCTGGTATGTGGATGTTTCACTATTTCATAAGAAACTTTTTCAGGGTCTGAAAGAAAATTTTACTAATTAAATCATTTCATATAAATTAATGATTTGATTTTGAAATAAAAATCGTATTATTTTATGAGTTAACCTTTCAAATTTTTATGTTCAGAAAAATTTACAGAATATATTTAAAACCGGAAAAGTTATCAAAAACCTTTATAAAATATATTACCGTCAAAAACAAAATATGCATTATAAATTCTGTTATAGAACATTTTAAATTAAAAAAAATGTAATTAAAAAAATATAATTTAATTTGAGAATCTACATTGTAAGATTTATTTTAAATTTATAAGTTTGTACATATATTTTTTTCTTAATATTTATTTTCAATATTCTTCCTTTTCTCACTTTTAACTGTTTAATTTAATAATTAACTACATTATTGTAAAAAAAAAAACAAATATTTGCATTTCTTTTGATCATAGCGACTTGGCTTTCGAATGTACAAGCATAAAATAATAATTTTTTATAAATTGATTTACCTACCACGTACCATTCTTTTTTACAATTGCGGCAATGGCAATCGCTATAGCTACTTTGGCAAGCAATATTGCTTTTCCTGCGAGAGCTGCAACGCCATGTAATAGTCCATACAGCAATGCTGCTTTCAAAGCAGCTAACATGTAAAAAACTACTCTGTCTTTTCCTTTTTTATCTTTTTTTCGAGCAGAAACTGAAATTTAAAATAAATTGATCAATTAACCAAGTATTTATATTATCTAATTTAAATCGAAAATTAAATTATATTATTAAATTAATCGAATCATGAATATTATAAAAAAAATAAAGGTATTGATAATAAATAAATTGTAAACAAATATTATATATACAAGTGAATATACATCTTTATCTTTAACTTCTTCTTTTCCTTTTACCTATAATATCATATTTATATATATAAAAGAATTATTATTTTTTAGAAAAACAAATAAATGTAATAAATAATATACTATTTACAATTTCTGTGTAATCATATTGATTTATTTAATTATTTCATTTAATATTTGCTTACTTAATTGTTGATTAAAAGATTTAAAATGTCGATTGAAGCTATTAAAAGTTTCCTTTTTTTATCAACTTTTTTTATTAATAGAATGTTTTTCCATTCAGAAATTAAGCATTAAATATAAGATTCTAGATATAATAGACAATAAAAGTGTATTTTAAAAGTTTTGCAAATAAAAGAGGGTAGTTATAAAATGTTTTTGTTTTATTTAGTATACTTAAATATATATAGTAATATAATAAATAAATAAATATATTTTTAAATTATATACTACATTATACTTATTTAATAGAAAAATTCATCTAACATCTTTTATTTAATATCTTTTTTCTTCTAAAATTACTCTAAAAAAAATATGAAACATGCTTATTTTAAAAAATCAGCAAGAATTCTCACCTTCACCCACGTTAATATCATCTAGAAGTCTTTGTCGGGCTTGCCTGTTAGATTGCGTTTGATTCTCTCTATTTTGCGATGAAGTATCGGCCGACTCATAGGTTTTACACTTAGTGATATCCTCTCCATTGCTAGCACACTCAATTGTACCCGAAGTTTTCAATAGATGTTTTCTGTTCATGGGCTCGCAAGAATAAATGGCGATGAAACCGCCTAATATCAGAACCGCGAAGAGTCGCCAAAGCATGTTCGATCAGAACTGACGCTTTGTGAAGATCGTCATATTTATAGGCTCTAGCAATTAGTAATAATGGCGGAGTAAAGTGGTGTTACGACATACAGAGCGTGAATGCATCTATGGTAAAATGCATCATGCGCATAAAATTATTCCAACCGGTGCTGTAGAACCGTACGTTTCTGCACGCACATAGTGGCGTATCCAATATACGTATAGGATACACCTCCAGTATACATATAGTATTGTACTTGCCATATTGTTAAATGGAGTGCATGAAGCGCAGTGAGAAGATAAATCTCAGCGGCGCGTATCATTATTTCGTCCTATCAGAAATACAGAATAATGTATTTGTGGAAGTACGTGATGCAAGTTGACTCGCATATTCGGTTCGGATTTACGCTCGGTGAGATAGATAACTAGATAAAGAACGAGATAGGTGAGAAAAGTAGTAAGGTGGGGAGGATGAAATAGATGAAATTTCAAATTTATCGAAATCGAAGGTCAAGCATCAACGAATATGTTGGTCGTACAGTAGCTATTTCTATACAAACTCTTGATACAATTTTGATGTACATATACTGTTACGGACCCATAATTTGCGAGAAAGGTAATTTATTTAATATCAAATAGACCGATAATAGAAATGTTGAAGAAAGTAGAAAGTGATGTGAAATATATGATTAATTTTTGTGTTATCCCTAACTAGAGTTTTATTTATCTTACATATACACATTTTCTCAGGTTTCGTTTCGACAGGTAGTCGTTTAGTTTAATTCAAATTGTCAATTGTTTCTATTATTTGTTATTTGACATTAATGATTGTATAATGCATATTATTTTCATAATAACGGAAACCTGGTCGTCTGTGATAAAATTTTTGAACGGGTTAGCAATTTTAAGTATTTAGGATCGATTTTAAACCAAACTAATGAAATAAGAGAAGAGCTCAAGAGAAGAATTAATTTGGGGAATGCGTGCTTCTATTCGGTTAAGAAACTACTCGGTTCGCGGATATTGTCTAGGCGCTTAAAAATTAGAATTTACAGAACGATTATTTTACCGGTAGTCCTTTATGGCAGCGAAGCGTGGTCACTTACATTACAAGACGAGAAAAGATTTAGGGCTTTCGAAAATAAAGTACTTCGAAAAATCATCGGGGCAAAACGCGATGAGGAAACGGGCGAATGGAGAAAATTACACAACGCAGAATTACATCAATTATATAATAGTCCGGATATTATTAATGTCATAAAATCGCGTCGATTAAGATGGGCAGGTCACGCGGCGCGTATGGATGAGAATCGAATTGCATATAAAGTACTAATTGGTAAACCGGATGGGAAGAGACCATTGGGTAGACCAAGACGTAGATGGGAAGAAAATATTAGAATGGACCTTAACGAAATGGGGTACGAGGGTCACAAATGGAGGGATCTGGCTCAGGGACGGGAACAGTGGCGGGATTTGGTATTTGCGGCAATGAGCTTTCGAGTTCCTAACGCCTAATAATAATAATAATAATACATATTATTATGAATTTGGAGATTTTTCTCCAATACATAATAAATGGTGTAAAAATTTATTAAGTTTTCTATTGTCAAATGTATAATGATATTATTTGTCAAAAGTTCTTCCACAGTACTTTAATTTGAAGTAAATAATAATCATCATCACCTTATGTATTATTTTCAACTACACACATCGTGGTATATAAAGTGACAGTAAAAATTGTTATATTACTGAGTCGAAGAACTGCTCTGATTTATTATGCATCGCAGCTGTTATTTAAAAAGTTATTAAAATGAATGCGTGAACTGAATTAAGATGATAAGTAGATTGTCAAGTGAATGAAAAAGCTTTCTTTTCACTTGTTACAGCTCCCACGATCCTCGCGCGCCGGAAAGTGGAGAATAAGGCCTAAAAAGCATGATCTTTTTCTTCGACGAGTGTTTTGTATGCCACTGGGCCAATCGAGCATCCTCGATTTACTACTCAGAGTATTACAGGCAGGGTTACAGCCTCTGAAGGTTACCAGCTATACGCATCCTAACATGGCACAAAGAATGCAGCTCCTACCCTTTAGTGTTTAATGGACGTTTGAAATTCCTTGAATATCCCCGGCGTTATAACGTAAGGTATAATTCAAAGAGCCATTATTCTTTCTAAAATATTTTGCAATCTTGCTTTATAGATCCTGTTATGTCTGTTATGTAAATTGATACTTCTGCGTATAGCTTTTCCTTGGTTCGATTATACTCATCATGAGCAACTACGCTGGATTATTTGAACTCTTGATTTTTTGCGGACACGCCGCTTCAATCAATGTTTTAAATCAATGATAGAATTCTTTGGAATATAAATTTTTTCATTTTACGTTAAAAAATTTTTTCATTTTACATTTTTATTAAATCATACTAAATTTAATGCTTTTGCGAACAAACATGATCCGATAATGAGCTAGATCAGAACCCTCCGCATGCGAATCGGCAGAACCACCTGTTGCTGATCGTTGACCTGAATCTAATAACAGGCAGAAACGTCCTGTTCGTGTCTAAAATATCTCTCGAGGAAATCACTCATGACGGTTTAACCTATTGCCTCACTTTTATTATTCCGGAAACCTGTGTGTTCCATACAATAACCGATGTTTCGTATAGGTGAAGCTTTTCCTACGCAAGGCTTTTATAAATTATCCACTTTTCCTATACTTTAGAGTTTGGTTTTAAATCATAAAGTCCAATGGTAAATGGTTAGCCTATTTTAATTTTAATTTTCAATTTTTTTTATAATGAATAGCATCATTGTGACCCAATGATGCCTTGGTAAGTATTCTTTTGGCAAACTTCCGCGAATTAGACGTTGAGGGATGAATGGGATAATTCATGAGGTATCATTAAGATAAGTGTCTCGGCTGAAACGTCCTACTTTTCTACTTTTGCGAACAATCGAAAGTCCGCCGCTTTTGTGACTTGGGACCTGAGTGGTATCAGATAACAAATAATTGCGCCCGACCGCACTGTGCGTAGGCTCATAGCAGCGAAATCCATTTCTCGCACCGTTCGTGAGAATATAACTGCACGCTCAGAATGTGGCACGGGCCTTAATACAGTTAAACACCGTCTGTGTGTAGGCCCGTGGCACTGACTATGGGATAATCGCGAAGTAGGTAACAGTATGGAGGATGCATCGCGTTGTCTGTTGTCGCATTAGAGATGCGCTAACCTCGATCGAATGTGTCGAGGATGCGCTCAGCTTCACGCTCCTAACAAACCGCGATACAAGAAGAAAACAGAATACATTGGGCCAGATAATTTCATGTTGTGGGTTTGCACACGTCATTAATCCTTTCGAGGCTAAGTGCTACAATTTCGTACACGAAAGGTGTGCAGATTTTTTTTATCTTTCATATGCAATCCATGGCAATTTCTTAGAAGAGATAAAAGACTTCTGTTCTAAAATCATAATAATAATTACTTTATAAAGAATGTAGCTGTTGTTGAATTCTAAAATCTTGTTTTGTTTTAACTGTATAAAAGGATTATTCTAATATCTTTTATTAGCAGCAAATAGGTACAAAAACATGTTGTAATAAATGTATTAATCAGTATACGGAGTGCATATGTGTGTCAAAACATTGCTAGTAATTGAGAAAATTAGCTAATTATACGCCATAAGGTTGCGAATTCCACATTCATGATGTTCATTCATCTACTGATAATCTCTATTTCATGGCTATCACACCAAAAATGAACGACAGCTGGTTTACATATAACGTGTACTGAGGGATGCAATGTGTATGTAATCAAAAAGCAATTTGTGCAAGAGTGAGGTGCTATACAGTTATAAGTTGTACTATTGCGCAATAAAGCAGTATCACATCGTGTAATCACAAAGCGCGTTGCTGTTTAGTTCGTCTCGCTTTACGTATTTCAGTGTCAATCAATCTGGAACAAAATGAAATCTCTTCTTCAACGTCATATCTGAAAGAATAGAGATAGTAAAGATAATTTCAAATATTGTATATTTTACGTTCTTCATATATATCAATGTGATTTATATTTATTAATATTTATATCCAGAGCGCAATTACGAAAAAAGATTTAAAAAATGAGAAACGGTTCGTGACGAGATTGTCGTTATATATAAATACAAAACATTATCCACCATCTATACGGGACACAACATGATGAGAATGATACACCAAAATGCAGGGAAAGTAGATCATCCGTGTCGATAATCCTTGCTCATTCCGCGCCGCAGGAAAATCGTATGATAGGAAGGTCACGGGCTGTCCGTAACCTGGAACCAGTTTCTAGCATCCTCACGTTATGGCTAGGGGTCAGGGAGATCACGGTGCCAGATACTCTGCCGATGCAGTCCACGGCGCTCCCCTCTGGTCTCATCTCAACACAGGCTTTGCCTCTCTCCTCCCGCGCAAAATACGAATCATGATGAGGCCGCACACTAACATAACGCGGAAGATGCACACATAGTACTTCCAAGTACGTCAACCGCCACAGTGAAATTTAATGAACGAATCGCGTGGTAGCGAATCGCGTTGAACAGCAGTGTCTCGATCTCGAGACGCGAGTGGGTCTCTGTGTCAGGAAGGGTCACATGTTCTCGGCGCGCTACCACTATGAGAATTTTTACCTCGGCCCCGTCCCGCGGCGGTGGCAGCTGTCTAGCGAGCTGAAAGAGAAAGAGGAAGATGCAAGGACGAGAGGGGTTCGCGATGGGGAGAAGAAAGAAGAGGATTTATCCACTCATACAAGCGAGGTCGTGTCGTCACATGCACCGGCATATCCGTCCGTTTATACGAGAGAGATACCTCATCCCCTTCGTGAAGGATGGTATCTAGGAGGATGGCAGCTCGCTGGTATATATCTGCTCGGAGACTTCGTCCTGATGCCAGTTCTCTCTAGTCGAGGATCATCTAGCTCGTGGGTGCGCGCAACTATTCGTATATCCGACTAGTCACTTCGAATTTCGAGTCGCGTGTCTCTCGCGTGATTTCGAGGATACGAGGTGTCTGTGATTTAATCCCAAAATTGTCCAGCCGAGCATTCGCGAGTTAGAAGGCCATCCCAGTCCAACATGTTGGCGATTAAGATTATATCAAAGTGCGTGCTGCTGTTGTTAGTCTGCAGTGCAATTCATGCCAATGAGGACGGCGGATTCCTTGAACGAGGATACCGTGCGCTTTATCGTGTCTACGAGGAGTGCGAGCATCGCAATATGGCCGTGTCGCCGTGTTTGAAGAAGAAGGCGATCGCCTTCTTCGAGAGACTCGGTCGTATACAGACTTTACCGATCAGCGATAATCTCGAGCTGGTCAAAGTCGCTTCTGCGACGGATGATAGCTCGAAAAACACGGTTCTCGATATGGAGAAGACTTTGGCTAGAACTAACGGAGGGGCCATGGACGAAATGCTCAACGATATCCTGTTCGAGCGCGTAGCCGCGCTAATGAACAGTTTCAACGTGCAGATCAGCTTACCAAAGACAAGTTCTGGCGAATTGAAACGAAGTATTGAGGAAGGTCGTGGGAAAATGAAGAAGATGATGGGCATGATGATGATGGGAATGGCGATGAAACTCGCCGCGTTAATTCCCATTGCTATGGGCGTGCTTTTCCTGCTGGCAGGTAAAGCTCTGATCATCAGCAAGATCGCTTTAGTTCTGTCGTTGATCATCGGCTTGAAGAAACTACTAAGCCAAAAGCAGGGTCACGATCACGGCGGCTGGCAGCAAGGCGGAGGTGGATGGGACAGAAGTCTGAAGGGAGTCGTAGACGCACCTGTGTCATCAATGACGGAAGCCGATCGCGAATACGCTCAGACTTTAGCTTACAACGCGCGGCAGAAGCATTAAACAATCCGCAGCAGGAAGATACAATGGGAAATCTTCAGGTATTGGGAGGAAGCAACGCCTGTATCCAAAGGAGCAGATATTATGCGATTTCAAAGACAGTTCGGGACATCGAAATAGATTCGCTATTTATGTTTTAAAATAAATTTTATAAAACATCGTATTTATATATATGCATACTGCATAGATTATGACAAAAAGAAGAGAGTGTATAGATGGAATATATCAGTGATGTTATTGTTAAAATAAGGAAAAAAATATGAACGAAAATAAAGAAGATGCAAAAACTTGAAAAAAATTAAAAGTAGGAATAAAGATTCAATTGAGCGAGCTGTCTTATTTGTGTAAATTTTTACAAGTCTGATCGCTTTTTGAATGATCATCGATATGATAATAATCGCATCGTAATTTCATCTAAATTAATTATAAATAACGTAAATATTTAATGCGATAATACAATATATATAGTAAATTGTTTTATTATTATATACATTTGGAGCGAAAAGGAAGTTACCGCAAAGAAGCTATTTTGACAATTTTCTGTAAAGCGAGAAAAATGCTCAAGCTGTAAAAATGTATAGCTGGAATGTAAATAACTGTCAAAAAAATATAAAACAAAAAAGTGATAATGACAAGTATTTCCATTTGAACTGTCAATTATCCCAGTAAACAATCTAACGAAATGTGATAGCGAGAGAGTAATTTTCACTCACGAAAACTTCTAATGGTGCCTGTTTGAAGTTTTTGTCGACAATCAAAACGCGATCAATCACGAGGTTAAATGAAAAGATGACAGACTTTAGTCTTTGATTAGCCGAATTTGTAGTCGTTTCTCAGTACACTTGCGATATTTATATTTATTTATTTAGTACCTCACCAAGGTAGGCAGAAAGTATATATTTATTATAGATTTATAAAATAACCTTAGAGAGAGTTTGGAACGTGTAGCTTGCGACAAATACTTACATCTGTATCAATATTTACGTTACTAAAATCTTGTGTTCAGTAGAGTAAGCGTAACGATTAAAATACTTGAGTGTTAAAATGTAGTGAATAAGAAATACTAATTCCATCATCTGTCAACATTTATTATATAATGATTAATTTATATAAATATATTACATTTTAAGAAACGTAACATTTATTTCGTAATGATCGTAATACATGCGGATCGTTTCGCGTAACGTTTTTCATTGTAGTGTCTGAAAGATAAAAAATAATTTAATTTAATGTGTTTACAAGTATACACTTGACGCATTTTCTACGAAATGTATACAAAATGTATACGTTTGACTCCGAGAAGCGATTATAAATTCGGCTTAAGTGTTACTTTGTGCACACAGGCGTTCAATATACTTTCTCAAAGATAATGGCGATTAATTACACAAGTCTAACCTGATTGTAAATTATTACGAAATAAAATCGTATGTCATTCTCACTTCTTAGTATATTCTTGATGAGCTCCTTCTAAAGATCCTGATTTCGTTGTCAATGTATCTTCAGTCCGAGAACGGCAGCAAACAAGGCGAAGAAAAATCCCGCAAGCAGCGTCGTTCCTTTGAGAAGAATCAAACCTCCAAGTATTATTGGTATCAGAGCGACAAATTTGAGTTTATATGCCATCAGCAACGCCAACATAGTATGGCCAACCTTTCGTTTCTTACGCCGTGCTTCATCTGAAAATTATCACGAACAATATGATTAAAATCTTGAACATATTTTCGATGATTTAAATTAAAAATAACAGAAATATCAAATTATTTTTAACTGTTATGTTTATAATAATATGATTTTTGATATGAAAATGATTTCACTTATGTTACAAAATCACATTAACATACAAGTGGAATACAATACCGATCATTAACGTGATTTTATTAAAAACTACATATATAGTATTTGGAAAATTTATTACAATTGAGAAATTAACATTAAACTTATTGATATACTATTTGTTAGGATTTTAGTGTAAAAATTATAAAATTTTCGACATTAATGTTCGATGTATCCCATTTCAATAATGAAAACCATTATAACATATATTAAAGAAACCCGTTATACAACGGCACCGTTAATCATACTTCATCAGAACGACAATTCCAACATAACACTTGCTGCTATTTTTTTTTACATCAGTGTTTTATAGCACTTGCATTACAAGATAAAAGCATTTCTGTCATTAAGTATTATAAGGCCGCTATTGATTTACCTCGTTCCTCCACTTCAATCTTAGAATGTGCGTTATAGAAGTCTTCATCAATTGAGCGATGGATCTTGGCTGTCTTATCTATGGCGTTGCGACCATTGACCGAAGAAATAGGATTCTCGAAGGTGACATTATCATTCATATACCTAAGGATCTTCTCGCCGGAAGTGACGGTTCTCTCTTCTTTCTGCCATTTCTCTGGCGTCGACTTCGAATGCTCACTCGCGCGACTGACGCAATTCAAGGTCAGCAAAACCGCGACCAGATTAACTCGCAACAGCATCTTTTCTCGCATTCATGAAGAATGAGTTCTCGCTGGAAATCCACTGATGGTATTTGCACGCGGTGTCGTCTACAATCTCACTCTTTCGTCTATCTCACCTTATTTCATTGTCAAGACGTCATCGCGCACTGATTGATTTTCCTAGGTCAGGGACGAATGTTTCCTCGAATAGCAATAACATTCGAATGGCTGACGAAGCGAGCACTGTCTTTTTCTAGGATCGACGACAAGTCACGAAAGATGAGCGCTACGGCCGTCACGGCATGCCTCTTCCGTTGCTGGTGTCCGCCTTTGGTTAAAAGGCTCGTTCTGTTCCGTATGCAAGATTGTAAAGTTGTATCTATGAAAACGACATACAGAGAGAGAGAGAAGAAGAAGTCAACTGGGTATGGACAATATAGAAAGAAGGAATGAACGGTGCAACGAACAACCGCGAACTAACTGATCCGCCGTTGATCCACTGTTCGACGACAAACTGACCGGACGCAGTGGATACCACGCCGGGCACGCTTCAGTTGCCGGGAAAATCGTCAGTCCGTATAAAATGAGCTCCGACCGGTGAGCCAGCGATATATACGCTTGCGGTAAACACTATGATCCAAATTGTCAGTACCGATATATGTGTCACGTTATATCGCAGAACGGTATATACGAGGCATAGACGCGGTCACACCAGATAAGAAGATTTCTGCGGGTGTTCTCGTCGCGTAAGAGAAAGGGAGTGGAGGCCGTCGCGCGAATGAGCGCATTATAATGCCTCTATAGGGGCGGAAATGGTTTTGCAGAACACGATGTATTTGCAGTGAGCGTTGTTTTGCAATGAAAGCGATTTTTTTTAGTTACGCCACGCAGATATCCGGGCCAAAGAAAATTCGATGGTCTTCAATGGTTGGAAACGTTTCGTGTCTCCAGTCGTCGTATAAGATCATAGCGTGATTTGCTTTATCTCTGATCTTCTTCTTATCTCGAGGAAAGTTAGCTTATAAACGTTTGATCTAATTTTCAAATCTCTATGATCAAATGCTCGTATGTACTTTTGTATCTTTTAATGGTTTTTTATTCTCTTGTACTAAATAATTCTAAGATATTTTACATTTACAAATTAGTATAGTATGTTGATATCTGATTGTGATTATTTGCATGAGCAATTTTCAATATTTTAAAAACAGCGTTTCTTTGCTCAGAAGCTTATTTTAAAATTAACTGAAGGACATATATTTATTTGATATATTCACTGTTAAATAATCTTATTTGTAAATTAAAGTATGTATGTAAATCACTGTTATTTTTAATTTAATTTCATATACTTGTGATTGAAATAATATCCGTTAGATATCCGGAAAAAGTTGTGTCACTGTTTCGCTTCACTCCTTTTCATTCGCTTTTCAATTTTGTTACGCCACTTTTAGATTATCGATTGCCCTTTTTTGTCGGAGCATCATCCCACACTTATAACAGAGCATCACAAACTGCACTACATTTTACAATCTGCTGCATATTTATCTGAGCTATCTGAAGTACTCGAAGCACGTTTCGCTTAAGTGCACAATGAAATATTGCACATTGCTCTAACCACGAATAAATGAGCATCTTATTGAGCATCTGCCCGTAGGATAAGAAATTAGAAATCTGCGTGTATATACGTAGAAATCTACGTGAAAAGACTGACCGATCGTAAATGATCTTGATGGGATCTTTTTTTTTTAGTTACGCCCAGCAAACATGCGGGTTGCTAATAACCCAGTAGCTTTAAATGATCCTTACAACCTGATAATATTTTCTTCTCATTGCGTTTAATGTATTAATTTACGTATGTAGGTATATGGGTCCAAAACTTGTACACACACGCATTGTGCTCTTACGGTTACTTTTAATTTATCTTAAGATCAATTTCATAAGGATATTACAATATTTTATTATAATGAGATATTTTAACATAAGTGTTGTTTAACTGATTTAATATAGGTTCTATTACTTTTATAGGTTTTAATGTAACAGAAAAATGTTTCTTCGTAAAGCTACATTATTGACATTCAAATAAACGGAGATTGTATTACTGCATCGTTTATCGAATAAGAAAGTGATGTAATAAAGTGTACGTGAGATTGACAATGTACATAATGAATTTATATTACTTAACATCTACAGAGTAGACAGTTATTAATGTATTTAATATTCATTAAATTGCGGAAAAATGTAGTGAAATTATACAATTTGCATAATTAACATAAAGCATTCGAAACATGTATCGGATGCCCGCGTATGAGATTGATGAAACAAAGCATTAGATACAGCGTGAAATGTTTCCATGTTTTATTAAATGATTAATAGTCTGACTGTTTTCAGCAATTATCAAGTTCTTATCTGCTCTGAAAATCACGAGTCACATGTATCACATTAAATAAAGTGATACTTAACAATCATTATCACGTATGTACTCTCTCCTTGACTTTCTTCATTCTCGGATATTACATCGAGGCAGTTTCACAAGTAATAAACCTGTATATTTACTAACGCAGAGAACTTGCACGCACTAATTGCGCACTCGTAACAAAATTGTTTTTTTGGATACGTTGTTTCTACTTTGCATCGCTAATAAAAGACATTGCCTGTATATTATAATGTTTGTCGCTATTGAAATTATCAGACTAGTTATTTAAAGATAGATTGTGATAGAGCATTAGTCGAGTTCCTCGTGTATGAAGCCGACAACCTACATATCGGTATAGTATTCATATACTTCCTAAGTATATCACTTCAAATTCTTAGAAAGAGGAAATAAAGAATAATTTGCTGTGTTTTTTTTAAGATCTTGTGTGTGTGTGTAATCCTAGATAATAATGATCGTTAGGAGGAAGATATCAAAAGACGAAATAATGAAATGATAAATGTTGGTT